CACAGATGGACACACAGACACACACACTGATGGATGGATGGACAGGACCCTGCACACACAGATGGACACACAGACACGCACACTGATGAATGGATGGACAGGATCCTGGACACACAGATGGACACACACACTGATGGATGGATGGACAGGATCCTGCACACACAGATGGACACACAGACACACACACTGATGGATGGATGGACAGGACCCTGCACACACAGATGGACACACAGACACGCACACTGATGGATGGATGGACAGGACCCTGCACACACAGATGGACACACAGACACGCACACTGATGGATGGATGGACAGGACCCTGCACACACAGATGGACACACAGACACGCACACTGATGGATGGACAGGACCCTGCACACACAGATGGACACACAGACACGCACACTGATGGATGGATGGACAGGACCCTGCACACACAGATGGACACACAGACACACACACTGATGGATGGATGGACAGGACCCTGCACACACAGATGGACTCTCGGCAGCTCTGCATCACTGCACCTGGACGACTACACTGCCACGTGCACCTGGCTGCTCCCACTCACAGCATCCCACGTGCCCACCCACAGACACTCCTGTGCACTCCACAGGCACCTGAGTGCTGCCCTCGCCCCCACCAGCCCCCCACACACACCTGCTGCAGGGGAACCATGTAGTTCCCCCACCACGGGGCTGTCTCCCGTGTGCCCCTACCCAGAGAGGGCCCAGGGGAGCCTGAGGAAGATGGGTGTTATGACACAAAACATGAAACCTGAGGCCATCCCTCAGCTCAGCTGCACAGATGGCACCGACCTGGGTGAATCAGCCACCACGGGGTCTCACTCCAACCCCATGTCTGGGGACACCAACCACAGCAGGGACAGCCACTTCCAAGGCATACAGTGTTTCCCCAGCACCAACCAGTTCACCATTCCCAAACAAGTGCCCCAGCACCACTGTACCACCACAGCATCTACATCCCTTTGGGAAGATGAGATGTTCCCCAAGAACGGGAAATCAGCAGGTCCTGACACAAAGGGACTCGATACCTTCAGCTTTTGTAGTCCTCTCACTCCGGCACAGCACCCCCACATGCCCACAGACAGGCTGTTCTCCCTCTTCCCTCTGCCCACCAAAAACTTCAGCTAATTCCCAGCCCAAACAGCTCCTGATCCTCCTGCAGGAGAGGGCCAGGCAGGCAGCAAGGCCCTGTCACCACCCGCTGCCCGGAGCTGCCAATTTAAGGCCAAGCAGACTCCTGGTGAAACACTGAGCTCTGGCAACCACGGCACAAACATCTGCTCTTCCAACGGCATCGTGATTCACAGGCTATTAATTGGGGCATGGCAGCACTGGGAACTGTTTGCATCCCCTGGCTTTGCTCAGAGCCACAACTCGCTGCTGACAAGGTCTGGGTGCTGGAGACAGAGCCAAACCTGGCACGGCAGCGGCTGCAGTGGAGCCACACCAGGACGGTGCCCAGCTCCCACACTGGCTGCACGGGCACTCGGGAGCCAGGCAGAATGAACCCCAGGAAAGCAGCAGAGGTGGTGCCCAGTGCTTGGCAGAGCCACAGTGTCCTCTGGAGCTGGGGGCAGCGGGCAGGCTGCCTCTCTGATGGGGTGGTTGGAAGGTGCTGGGGGTGTTCCTCAAGTTGCTGCCTCTCTGATGGAGTGGTTGGCAGGTGCTGGGGGTGTTCCTCAAGTTGCTGTCACCAAACATCAACGTGTTTCCATAGGGTGTCCCAGCTGCCACTCGCTCCCAGGGGTGCTGGCTTCAAGGGGAGCCACACAGCAGACCCTGCTCGGGCAGCACCAAACAAAGGCTGTGGGGAGCCTCCAACAACAGCCAAGAGGAATCTGAATTCAGAAGCTGATTAGAAACCATGTCATGGCTTCTTCCTGCTCCAGCATTTGGGGAGGAGTGAGCTGGGGGGCGACATGGAAAATCTAATTAAGATTGAGGGCAGGTTGCAGAGGCACTGACACAGGCACTGCAGGAGCACAGCTGCTTGTGGGAGGGGGACACCGGGTCCTGCAGCACCCCTGGCCCTGGAGAAATGGGGAAGGTACAAATTAATTCTCCTTAATCCGATGGGCACTCGCTCCACTGCCACGTGCTGTGGCAGATGACAGAGAGCAGCCTGGCCTCCCCACAGCTCAGCTTTTGGACCTGTGGTGGCCAGGCCCTCTCTGTCCCCTGCCAGTGACAGTGTACAGCCTTGGGGATGAGCTGTTGGGCAGGACAGGGTGAGCAGAAGGGGCTCAATCCTGCCTGGTTTGGAGGAGGTGAGTGTGGAGTGCTGAGCTGTCTGCCCTGTCCATGGTTTTCCAGGCAGCCCCCTCGTGCTGCTGCTCATAGAGAGACCAGGCATCACAGGACCATTGAAATGCCACAATCTGAAGGCCACTTTATCAGAGCAGGGGGTGCCAAAGCCCAGAGGCCAGCCTGAAGGGACACTACCCAGGGTCTGCAGCACCCGCTCTGCGCATCCCCCTCCCCTTGCCCTCCGCAGCACCTGCCATGCCCTGTGCCACCTGCATCGCAGGGATGTCCTCCCCGCTGCCAGGAGCTGCCAGCCCACGGCCGGGGTGTCCCCCAGGGCACGTCCAGCCGCAGCCCCCGGCCCCCGCCCGCCCCGCGAGCCCCCCTCTGCTGGCACGGCTCGCCTGCTATTCTTAGCTCTCCAGCGCTGCGCTCTCCCGGCTATGGCACCGTATATTACTATTATTGCTGGCTGCCAACGTCTTGAAGCAGGCAGCCAGGATCGTGATGGGGCTTCCACACCCCTGGTGACCTGTCATTCGGTCCCTGCTGGGCTCTGGTCTTCAACAGGCTATTTCAGGAAATCCAATTTGATGGCCAGAAGGAGCACAAGCCACACATTCAGCCCCTGCGCTGGATCCAGGCTCCTCCTGTTTCTGCTCAGATCCAGATTTTAGCTTTGCCTGTGTTGGCAATAAGGGCCAAGAGTCACCTTTGGCTCCAGATCCAAATTTCTGGCTGGGTGGGATCCAGGGTTTCGGCTCAGCTTGCTGAAGAGATGCGAGCGTCTGCAAAACCTGGATCTGGAGCCCCAGCCCCCACCGCAGCAGCTCCACCTGGGCATGAGACCCCAACACGGGGCCTGATCCTGCCTTTGAGGGTGGGCAGAGCTGGGGAGACCCACACCAGCACACCCACACAGGCTCTGCATCCCACAGGTCCTGGCACTGGTCTGCCTCTGAGCTCCTGATGGGGAGGTGAAGGAAGGGCCCCCCAAACACCCCCAGCCTGGGCTTCCCAACACCCTCCACTTCTCCCGTGCCTTGCCCAAGCTGCTGGAAGTCAGGCACAGCAGGAGGACTGAGAGGGCTGGGGGCTGCTCCTCCATGCCCACGTGGCACAAGCCTTGGCACTCAGGAGGGAGATTTGGGCACCAAGCTCAGCATCATCTCATCCAGGCTTGGAGGGGGACACCACAGCTTTGTCACCCCTTTCCCCAGAGCAGGGATGCCTGGAGCTGGTGCTGGTGCCCTGGCTCAGTGGGGTAACAATAGCCAGGGCAGCCCCAAAGTTGGCTCACACCAACAGCTCCCCACGTCAGTGCTCTCACCACTGCCACAGCCAAAAGGGGCCCCTCCAGGCTCGGATGTTCCACGGTCACTTTGATGGCTATTTTTGCATTCCCAGCCCTGCCGGCGCTGTAATAATGCTTGAAAGGGCTGACATGCTCCTTGCAGCCATGCCCATCTCCCAGTGGCCTTCCCCCTGTTCCATCCCTGCACAGACAGAGTCCTCAAGGGCTGGGAGCCATGGATGCATTCGGGGGAACAGTGGGAGCACGGGGGTGAGAAACTGAGAAAGACAAAAAATTACATCCATTTCCTAAAGGAGAATCTGCACTGCTGACCAGATCCTGTTCCCTTTACACCAAGGAAGGCTGCCTGCTCCCAGCCTGGATTCCCACAGGGATAACCAACACCCACCAGCCAGGCTCTGTCCCCCTTCCTGGCCAGGGGACAGGCAGGGATTGTCTACGGACAGCACAGCCTTGGATCCCACCAGGGAGGTGACATGAGGGGCTGGATGTCACAGGATGGAGCGAGACCAGTGGTCCCAGCACCAACTTGCTCTGCAGGTTTGGCACAGGATGGAGAGACCAGACCGGCTCCTCCAAGGAAACCCAACAGTCTGGAGGAGGGAAGGCAGCAGCAAGAGGGAGCACCCAGACAGGGGCCCCCGAAGCTCTGCTTGCCTGCCAGGCTGGCTTGGACCATGGCTCCTGGATGCACGGTGATGGGCACAGCTCAGCTGGTTCCCCACGCCAGCCCCCGGCACCCGGCCAGGCATGGTCCTCGCCACCCCCCCGGCAGGAATGAGGAGGGGGAGCCCACTGGGTGGGGAGGGGTCCTGGGCCTGCCCCGAGCCCTCTCCCACGCCAGCCCCCGGCACCCGGCCGGGCATGGTCCTCTCCACCCCCCCGGCAGGATGAGGAGGGGGAGCCCACTGGGTGGGGAGGGGTCCTGGGCCTGCCCCGAGCCCTCCGCAGCGGGAGAACGCAGGATGGCTGGCGTCGCCATCCAGGGGAGGCTGGAGGGGCTGCGGGCTGTGCCTCCCTCCCCAGTGCCTCGGGCAGCAGAGGATGGGGATGCCCGCTGGCACCCCCTCTCCCCCACCCACCGGGGAATCCTGGCGGAGCCGAGCTCCATGGCACCGCTGAGATGCCCCCGGCCATGCCCCGGCTCCTTCCTCCACCACCCGGTTCACCCCCGGCCACCCGCTCGGCGGGGCTCGATGGGTCCGCAGGTGACACGTCCCGTTCCCGCGGGGCCGGTTCCGCACGGCTCCGGTGCCTCGTCGGTGAGAGCCCCCCTCCTCACTGAGCACCGCCGACCCCGGGGACCGCTTCCCCGCGCCCCCCCCGCCGGGCACCGCGGACCTCGGGGACCGGCCCCGCTCTGCGCTGGGCACCGCGGTACCCCCGGCACCGGGGCCGCCCCCGCCGCTCTTACCCCTCTCCCGCCTCCTACATCCTCCGGCGGCTCCCGGGCGGTTCCCCGACGGCCCGGCGCGGCCGCCCCCGGCCCGGCTGCTCCCGGCCCGGCTCGGTTGGGCTCGGCTGGTCCCGGCTCGGCCCGGG